CCGGTAAGGAGTGTGAACCAGGACTAGCAAGCAAAAAAAAAAAAAAAAGAAAAAGAAAGAAAAAATAGATTCTTTTAATTAAACATAATCTTATAACATGCATCAAAATATCTTTTTCCTAATAGCATTAAAAGATTATATTGCTCTCTTTCTCGTTCAAGACTTTTTATCATTTCAGTTCTTTCTTTCTGGTTAACTTAACATGCTCTATAGTTTCAATTTCCCCACAAAACTCACATCTTCCTGTATCATGTTTCCCCATTATATGTAAAGTTGCATTAAGTCCCGTATGACCCATCCGTAACCTTGTTATTATTCTTTCCTGTAGTCTATTTCTTCCAACACCTCTGTCCTCCACCTTTGCTCCTGAAACACACATCTTCACTCAGCTTGAAAGGTGGAGCTCTTTACTCTCATTAGATGGGAGTCGATCCACCTGCAAGTGTTTTAGGTTTGTTCCTCCCTTCAATTTAGATTTGTTACAACAACTTAAAAAAACAACAACAGTTTTTGTAGCTTTTGGCTTTAAGCTTCCTTTTTGCTACTTATGGCTAAAGTTCTGCTACTTTGAGATTTTAGCTACCTTTTTTGCTGCTTTTAGCTACAAAAAAGACTGTACATTTAACTAACCTTTTGGTGGTTTAAACTTTTAGGTAGGCAATGTTTTTGCAGTTTTTAGGTTTTAGCTACCTTTTTAAGCTTGGCTACTTTTAGCTATCCCTATGCTGCTCTTAGCTGTTATTTATCTCTTTTGCTTTCAGCTTGGTTTTTACAACTTTTATCATTTAGCTGATAAGGTGGTACTTTTAGCTGGCTGTCACTTTAAAATAGTATTTTGCGACTTTTACTTTTTAGCTAGCATTTTGCTCTTTTGGGCTTTTAGCTAGTGTTCTCCTTTTAGCTTTAACAACTCAGTTTCAGCTTCTTCAAAAACAATAGCAAAGTCATTTAGCAATCAGCATTCACACTGCATTTTGTGTGAAAATAACATTTTGTCCAGTTTTGTTTGAGTTCCTGTTTGGCTGTGAGACTTCTCTGAGCCCCAATGGTGGGGGGTGGGGGGTGGGGGCTGAGCTGGGGCATCCAG